AACCTCGGCATTGGAATATGAATTTGTCGTTTTCTTGTTCAGCAATCGCGAGGTTTTTAAACAGCATACATTTACTTCCATAAAAAACACAATACAATACAACGCTAGCTGACGTTTCGGCAGTATCGCCTTCTTCAGAGGCGTTTTTTCGTGACTTCCAATGAGAAAGGTTAGAACAGCTGATTATAGTCGCATGTGGTTGACGACGGAAGTCACGAAAAAGCGGCTCTGAAGAAGGCGATAGTGCCGAAACGTCAGCTAGCGTTGTATTGTATTGTGTTTTTTATGGAAGTAAATGTATGCTGTTTAAAAACCTCGCGATTGCTGAACAAGAAAACGACACATTCATAAAGAAAGTACACCAAATTTCTCTAGATTTCTACAATTCACTAAACAACTAGACAATATTGCTTTTGTTGGACCTCTCATGCGCGGGCATGAGTCAACCAAAAGCACCAATTTTCACTTGAATGTGAAGTGGTGAAATACTGAGTTGTGCTCAGCAACACCGGCACCAACTCCTTCTTAGAGCAACGTTTCTGTTTTAGATTTCAGTAAATCTGTGCATTCCACAATCTTTCTTTACTCGAATTGTGAGCATCTAACGCCCAACATGTGTTGAGTACAACGCATTTGATGCAAAAGTAATGGTCGCTTTCGGTCCTGAACTTAAAATGTCTCTGCTCTGTAAAACTCTGGACCGCTGTTGTCTGCGGTAGGGAACGAACGCGACATTACCCTTGCAGGACGCTCACACGTTTACTACCAGCTCAGATCTGCTAAACTTATATCACCTTCTGGATCTAAGAGCATATACACTGATAGCAAAGCACAGATGGGCCGGTCACGTAATAAAAAGAACAGGCTACAAATGGAGAAAAAGAACAGTGGAATGGACCTAAACAGAATGTTAGCATGGACGACCAGCCAAACGCTGATAGAGGTGGTCGTGCCTAACGTCAACCGTCTGCATTCGCAGGTGGGAACGCTTTCAGGACTACGGAAAGGGCGTCGACAACGTCACAATGTTTACAACAGTGCACCACAATGGCCGCTACAAACACGAGAAATAGACGAAACGAATTGTACTGGGGTCATCACTACTAGCGATGAGAGACCATCCTGGTATCTACGTAAGTGGGAATAAGTTGCTCTATCATGAGACAATATAATGTATATAATAAGTCTATCATGTAGCTGACATTGTCTAGATTCCAATAGATTTGTAATTAATTTGTAAAGTTTGTAAGTCTAGATATGTCTTACGTGTGTGTACATGCATATGTGTATGTATATGTATAGGGCGCGTGTGGCGCAGTAGTTGGAGGCGCCACCGCGACACACGTGGAATCGATCCCAGCGCCCACGGCTCACCAAGCCTTCCATCTCTCCGGGATCGGCACATCGGTACCAGACTTGTTTGGGAGGATAGTAGCATTGGTTCGATACATCGGTAGGCCACCGTAAGTGACTGTAAAGGTCAGATACGCATTCAATCACCTCCAACGATACTTAATGAAGTCGAATGCATGGCACATCCCTCAGGGATTGATCAACTCCGAGAGCTTTATCCTTTTTATTGTGTGTATATACAGTATATATGGAATCCTTGTAGTACGTATGTTTCATCTCTGAATGGCTTCCGTCGTTTCCTTCCTTTTGTTTTTTCTCGCTCTTCGGAACAACCTCTTTGGGAATACTATCACTTTTCCACTTACAGTGAATTTCATTATCCTTCAATATTATGGCCTTGAGCCACATTAACTGATAGGAAAATCAACTTCGACCTCAATCGGATTTCTATCGAGAATGACATCGAGTCTGACGAAACCAGGCAGAAAAAATTGGATGAAATTATTGGTGGTATAATTGTTGGGTGTTCTTGTAATGTAATGCCTCACAATCTCTAAATCTTCGACCACAGTCAATCTATTGTGGATCGGCAAATATCTTTTCGGTGCCTCAGAAGTGAGAGATCTTTACGCATTGTTAATGGTTGATATTTATAACCTGCTTTCCTGGTACAGTTTGGAAGGAAGAATCGTCTTCCATAACAATATTCAACACAGAAGACAAGAGTATGAACCACAGTTACCCAAAATGTACTCGAGTGCATGTATGTTGTATCGACCCCTCTGTAACTGGAGATGTGGAACACGATATAGTGATAGAGCTCATATGTGATTTACCAGCTGGTGTTCTCTACGGCGATAGTTGGTTTACGAGTCTTTGCTTGGATGATTACTTATTTGATACTTTATACTTGAACGGCCAGTCCTCACTGGTTGTACCAACCCCAGCATAATCATTATTTTTCGGAGATTTACTGGTTAAGCCATTATGGTTTCCTGGAATGGTCGGCCAGGCTAAAGTCTGCCCTAGGTCTTCACCACCACGGGAACTCGCAGCCCTTGTGGTTCAGAGGAAGATTTGCCACCATGCGACTTTGATACCAGGACGGTGGTGGTTCATTACATTGGTTTACTCTTAGCTTGGCTTCCTAATGGAAACGCCGGACTCTTTCTCTTCTTGGGAGACTCTGCTGGGAAACGAATCCTCCGCTGTACATCGCAGTCCGACACCCAGGAACACCTCCCAGCCACGAGAGGCGGTAAACTATTGGGAGGGATGATGATGATGATTTGCTGCAGAGAATAACCACCTTACCGGCAGTTGTAATAGAAGAAAGGACTTCCACCGCAAGTGATCTATCGATGGCTGAATGGACAGCAGTTGACAGCGCAACAAGACTATAACGATATAATGGTGATGAAGTCTAAAGTTAAGAAGAAGGACAATGTTATTATGATGTGTAAAATTCATGACAAGACCACTCTCCCCAATTCATCAAAATCACCGCTGGTCGGAAGCGAGACTGTTGATTGTGGGCAAGAATTGCAGACGTTCGCTTAACGCAGCAGTTAGAGGTGTTCTGCTAGAAACATGCGGTCCTTCATCTGATCCTATGCTCAGCTTCACCAAAGCTTCCATGTATCTTTCGGGGTCGGTAAATTCGTTCTAGAGTTGTCTTTGAGGGTAGCAGCACCGAATTGATACATCGGTAGGCTACCAAATGTTATTTTGTAGGCCTCACATGAATTCAATCACCTCTAACTTGCTTAATGATGTTGAATGCATGACGCATCACCCAGGGATTGATCGACGCAGAGAGCTTTATCCTTTCTATTCCTTTAGGTAAGAACAACAAATTGTGTATATAGATTGATGACAATATGTATAATACACACTAGATATACATACATATAAAACTTGCAAACTGTAGATTGTGAAATAATTGTAAAATGAAGCCGTAGCAAGGCTTGATAAATGCTTCAAAAGACAAACAGCTCAATCCTATTCATTAGCGCACACTCGGCTAACACCACGCCACTCCGAAGAAGCCTCTTCTGTGATTAGCAATTTTATCCTTACGAGATTCTAGATTCTGCGCTTAACAATTGGATTCTAGTTTCCAGATAGAAGCACTTCTTTGTCTTGTCAATGGCCACAGTCTCTATTTTGCACTCTCTCTCCGACAACGAAACTTTATCTCCGCAATATAAGCTCGTCTCAAAAAAAGCCTTATTTAAATTAATAAGTGCAAAAGAGCGGATTTCTGCGAGCATCTGTCCTAGGCAGTTTATCGTTAGCGTACAAAATGTGCGGTGAAATAGCTCTGTGGAATGATATATATGTATACTGCAACAACACGCCAAGTTAAGCAAGCTCCCAAGACCTCTGGGTTTGAGAAATTCGTACCAGATCTGTCCGGTATCAACTCGCTCCCTATAATCTACAACAGTGGAGATTGTTTTGATGAACTCACTACCACGAAAACATCGGGTTTGTAAGGAGAATTAAGTCGACCAGCATTCAACGTTTGTAAGAAGACCAAAAACCCTCAAGCAGCAGCCAAACCCACATGCGCGCACAAATCTAGAAATCTTCATTGATTATGGATGCGAGGAAACAACTCGAATACAAGAATTGCTCGGATCAACAAAGTTAGTGTTGTTGGGTCGTGTTAAAATAAAATGGGAAAGAAATATTGTACCAAATATGTTCGAACACATTTGAAGCAGGTGAGAACTAGATACTTCCAGTGCAACAAATATTTCTAGATCACTGTGAACATTCCTACAAAACCGTTGGCTGTAGATGGAGTGCAGATATCATGTTTACACTGTAAAATTGCATGTGAATAAATGCATAAGCACGCTGAGATAGCATCAAAAATTGGAACCCCAAGTACACTTAGTACACGCAATTACCTTTCCGAAGTCTCACTTGCTATCCGTCAAACCAACCGAGGTCCTTGTTTTGCTTTTCTCTCAAGTTTTTACTCCAGCAGCGCCATCGTCACCGATCAAGCGGTGAGTAGTGAGGTGAATAGGTCAAAGATACACTATCCGTTCATGTGAATTCTATGCTGTTCTCTTACGAAGAGTACTCATTCGAGGACTCATAGAAAGCGGTGTGTGAAGGAACTCTTTTGTCTACAATGTTATTGAAATCTAGACATCGTCGTTTTTCTGTTCAGGTCATGGAGGTATTTGGGCGACTAGGTTGCAGCTAACTTGACTTTTCTTACTTACTTAGATACTTGGACGGTGCGTCTTGACGAGTTGTGCGGACCCCAGCACACGCTTGACATTTCTAGGGCCTGAAAAAGGCGAAATTCGCCGAAACGATAGCTACTGTGTTTGAATAGTATAACGACGACCTCTTGTGTGCTTATTAAGAAAGCGTCAAATTATTTATTAACGAAAAGTTGTTCATGAGGACTGACACAAAAATTTATGCAAAGCAAGCTCTTCGCGGCAAAATATGAAGCCGAAAAGTACAAGATCACATATGAATTGGCCATTTTCCGCAAAAACGCATGAGCTACATATGTGGCCAACAATGTGTTGTAGAGCTATAAAATTGTGAAATAAGAAATAGAAAATAAGCCGACTCTTTTTAGGCAACTTTCTCTTACTGGATGGGAAGACATTTGAGCCCAAGGGTTGTTGGCTGGAGCCGAACGCTACCGTTCCATTCAACTACGATTTCTGGTACCAACCACGTCGTAACATTATGATATCAACTGAATGGGGTGCGCCAAATGTCATCAAGAAAGGATTTGAGCCTAACCACGTAACTGAGGGTACGCAGTTTTGGTTGTAATGTGCGTTCAATGTTCAATGTCCATTCCTCAAATTTATCGAACAGGATGAATTTTTTTATGCATTAACTATAGATAAATTTAGTTCTTACCAAATAAGTATTGGAAGAGCCAGCAGACAGATTGGAATTTTAGAATTTCCAGAAAAAAGGAAAAAATGAAAACTCCATTATATGCAGAACTGCATCAGTGTTATTTCTTTAAGCGATTCTGCTATAATGAAGCTCTTATAAAGCCTTTTATTCGACTAATGCTTCGACGTCTTCGTCTTCTTCATGGAGGAACTGATCCCTGCTTATTTTCATCCACTGCTCATTCCTACAAAATGGGTCTTCAAAGTTGCATCCAGTCGAATCCAGTAGAGAGGGCACTGCTCGAATGAAATCTCTCTCCCGTCGGGCTCTTTTATGTTCTGAAGAAGGCAAAAGGCGTCGAAACGTTAACTGGATTAGTTTTATAGCAACTTCGCGTTAACATAATCATCTGAGAAAATAGTTATTGGTAGTCCCAAGGCCAAAAGATAGTCGGTTTTTCAAAATGCCAGTCGTTTTTGTTGACACGAAGAGCGGAAGATCGTGAGAAGCTTTCGTCTCATATGTTTGCCTTCCTACTTCGGAAAACTATTTCATCACACGTGAGGAAACCAACTTATGTGTTTTAATAAATAGGTATAGGACGGGACATGCTGGTTTATTGATTTTAAGGTGCGAAATAACCGATGATTTTAACCCGCCGCCTTTGCCACTTTGACCTACTGATTGGTTAGGTTTCGGTATCGACTTTTGTATTCCCTTTCAGATGATGGGCGATAAAGGGTAACACCACTAAGATGTTTCTTAGTTATCTTAACGCCTAGCTGACCAAAAATAACTACGAGCTCTCCGCTTATCACTAACTGATAGCCCTAATGGTCTTTGAATTTATTAAATCTCTAATTTCCTGCATGTCGCAGTTTTGTGCGACTGTAAAGTTAGTGATAAATTTTCTATCGCGACAGTGATTAAGAGTGTTGAGAACGCCGTCCGAAAACGTGGAATTTTGTGTCAATTCCGTCGTTGGGGTCCTGCTGTCCAGAACACATTCTAGGAAAAGGAGATGGTGGTTGTGTCGCCGCCTCTTCGTTTTCACCTCTATTTAATGTCCCTTGTTTAGCCTGATAACGAAGCCGACCTTGAAGCTCATAAAGGTTGCATGTTATCCTACGCAGGATCGTTTTAGAAATGGGTGGTGCAAAACTTGGACCCAGTTATAATAGCCAACGCCCACTCTCAGGTATTTTTATGGCCCCAATCACGGTGATCCTAGATTTTCTTGGTGCACTATCAACCGTACTTTGATTCCTATTCGTTTGTCTGTGATTTCTTGAAGCCGAAACACGCGAATTAGTCAACAGATTCTCAAACTTTCGCTGTAAAGTCATTTTAGCATCAGACCTAATAAAAAGGGACCACATCATCAAAACAAGGCACGCCACTAGGCACGCATAGGATAAAAAAACAGCGGAGAAGATTTGGTGTAAAAGTCGCTATCGTCGCACAGGAGACTAAAGCATCAACGCGCAAATTTTTCGAGGTTTTTTTGCATAAATTCCAAAAATCCGGGAATGAATAGTAGAGTAGAATGCCCTGAAATAACGCGTGATCTAGCCCTGTATCTCAGAACTGATTTTTGACGTGGAGTGGTGCAGTAACCAACCATTTGCGACTCTAAGCGGCTGTTCTTCCTTGGTGGAAGGCAGATAGAAAATGGTGGATTTTTCGAGAAGCCAGTGATCGTGTAATTATTGTTCAAATTTCCATCTTTCTGTTAGCGGTGTTGAAGCGTTTGACCTAGTAAATTACATATTAGTGTACCCTTCCAGGCTCTGAAGAAGGCGATACTGCCGAGATGTTTGTTATCGTTGTGTTGTATGTGTTATATTTGAGCTCTCAGTAATGAAATTGCATCATTTTTAAAAATGCTAACGAATAAATGTGCTAATAAGCTCTGCTAAAGGTCTATTGTAGAGCACAATGGATTTTTAAGGTCACTACGGCCATTCCGTTCACCTATTCAAGTGGTCTACCCACGAGAAACTTCAGACACTAGATTTGCCCTGTCCTGAAGGTGCCATTCCTCTTGAAGTCAGGTTTGTCAGCTTAAACAAATGTATTATGAATATGAGACTAAAACTAATCAACTTATTTTAGGTAAGTAATTAGTATGAGAAAGAATTATTCAGCACTGATATAACACGATGTTTCAGGTTCCTGCACGAGCCTACAAGTCCTTTCGCCTTCGTTGGTACTGCCCTTGGATCGTGTGTGTTTCTCCTACATCCTACATATGAGGTGAAAAAGAAACGCTTGGGAATAAAATGAGCTCCTCAGTATGTTTAGCAGTCTCAGAAATGGTCGTTTTGGTCATCGGTGTATCTCAAATATCTGAAACAAGGACACCTGTAGCACAGTAATCAGAGGTTCGCTGCAGTGCACACGTAGCGTATGGTTCGAGTTCACGTAAAACCAAGCCTAGCATCCCTTCCGCCTCGTTAAATTACCACCAGACCTATCCTGTAAAGCAAAAACATTGACCTGATTCGACGGTAGGCTGATCTCGAATGCTCAGTGGTGTTGAATCTATGGGATTTACCAACGTCGATCGTATTATCTTTTATCCAGTCGACAAGCTAATAAGGTACCATTCCACACGAATATTTTCATGAAATTCACACAAGGTAGTGAGATTTTTCTTTCAATTCAGGGTTCTTTGGAGAAGGGTAAACGATTTTATATAGCGAGATTTTTAAAACCTAAGCAAAATCACAGTTTCTTTTGTAACAGACTAATGTTTTCCTTTTTTCGACGCAATAAGCTTTACAATAGGGGTGTTCAGCGCACTAGTAGTGAAGCCGTTTATCATAACGCGGTTATGGTTCGATCTCATTCAGCCTCACTAACCCTCCCATCCTTCCGCAGTCAGGAAATCGGTAACGAACTTGTCTGCGACAGGCTCACTCCCTCGAGTTGGGGATGACCTAGCACGGCTATCGCCAAAGCGAAGGCGACAATCCTGAAGAAACAGAAAAATCCACATATGCAGAGACCACGAAACCTTACGGTTGTTGACGAATGCGAGGAAGCGAACAGAATGCAAGAAGTACTGGAATCCTCCAGCTTCCTCTGCGTATTTGAAAGTAGCAGTGTTTCTATGAGAAACTGGTTAGCCTAACGACTTTTATTCTTATCTTCTAATACGATTTTGCAATTTCGTTTTTTTTTAGCATCTTTATTAACCGTTTAGAACACCAAATACCGTATTCCTACTAATCTAAACTTTTATTTACTTTCGTGTAAGTTTTCTCAAAAAGGAACCAGGATCAGATTGTTGTACGGGCTCATTAGTTAAATCTCCAACCACTGCATTTCGCTCACTGCTACAAGTTCGCTTAGGGTTCCACGATCTATACTGCTAAGTGTGTCGCCAAGGTTCCTCCGAAAAAGGTTTGTTCACTTATTGATGTGTTTGCCGTTATTATGCAAAAATATAAATACACATGGTTGTAATTCATCATAAATAGAGAGGTGAAAAATTCTGCCACAGAAACCAGGGTAGCAAGAGAAATAAGAACAGTTTTGCCTTCTCTTTTAAAGAAAGTCGCCTCCAAATTCAAAGATGGCTCCTGAAAAAATCGGCCTAACCCTACTCAAATTAGCCTCTATTTTAAAGTTTTTAGTTACCTTTATTCTCTTTGTTGTATTTCTAAGACCCTTCTCAACGGTTTACCGCAGCATCGCGGCTGGAAGGTGTTCCTGGGTGTCGGGATGCGATGTACAAAGGGGAGATTCATCCATCCAGCGGAGCCTCCCAAGCTGAGAAGGGGTCCGGCTTTTCCATCAGGAAGCACAGATAAGACTAAATCAATACCAGGAATCACTATCGTCCTAGTGTCAAACTAGTCGCATGGTGGCAAATCTACCTCTGATCCACAAGAGCGAAGTCTGCCTGGTGTGGCGACGGCCTGTGACACGCTTTGGCTAGGTTGCCCTCGGGACTCCAGTGAACCACAGCAGCTGAACCAGCAATACTCCGAAAAATGGAAATTATGCTTAGGTCCGCACAACCAGTGGAGAAGGGCCATCCCAGCACCCAACTAAGTATTTCCAAAACCGTTTCTACTACATTTAAGCGCTACTCTGAAAAGTCATTGCTAGCACACTCGCAGTGAAACGCAGGCTTTTTGGAATTGAAAAGTTCTAACTTATGTTTATTTCGAAAACGGTAGTAGTTTTCAATGCTTGGTGGCGATCGAACCAGATCGATTAAGGTGGTATGAAATCATGTCAGCTTTGAAGTAGGAAATACATCAAGCTTCTTCATAACATTTTAAAGCTTTCGTCTTTAAAATTAGGTGGAAGGTTGGATGCTGCCAGAAATGCCGTCCCTAATCACCGACATTCTGATTTCAATGGACGACCGTTTTCTGTATGTTTCGAATTGGCTTCATGGTGATATAAGGCAGTACGACATCACGGACCCTCATAATATCCGACTACATGGACAAGTTCGTTTTCAGAACCTTTGTAGTAATGGGAATTCCTCAGGAAAAGTTTAGATATAGATTTCACCATGTTAAATGTGCCGAGGTGTTCGCTGAGTATACTTTCTCCAAAAGTAAAACTTCTGGTAGGAAATGGGATGCAAGGAATCCGTTTAAAAACTTACTGTATTATGAATCATTTGATTTTTTTATAGATATTCCTCGGAGGAAGCATACATACAGAAAGCGGTGTTAAGGTCATATACGATGAGGAATTAAAGGTGGGTTTCGCAATTTTTAGTGCTTTCTTGAAAGTTTTCTCTAAGGAGTCAGAAGGAATAGTTCTATCTTTGTTATAGTGTTTGCGATATTGCAATCATAATTCCCGTAGTCGTTCATAGCTCTGATGTGTTTCAATTCATTGAAAAGATTCTATTCTCTATCGCCTCTGTTTCATTTCCACAAACTGTTTTAATACTTTTCACACCACGGAATTTGACAAGAACCGTAAACAACTGCAAAAGAATGTTAGCTCAAAAATAATGGTCGCTTCTGAACACCAACTTTAAAATTATAGCGTTCGTGTACTTAGTATAGGGGAAAGTGCAGTGGGAGAGGTAAGATTTTGTAGCCCAAGTCTTTCAAAATTTTCAGCGTCAATTAATAAGAAATAGGAACATACCTATCCTATGGGCGGGTGATGCATCCTGCAACAGTCAACATTGTATAAGATAGCAAATATCAAATCAGTAGTTTCTAAACCGACCGTCATCAAAAATAGTGTTCAGCCGTAGTTGTCCTATATGGCCCACATCTGAACTATTGTCATATTGTAATAGAGAAGTGAGTCGTTTTGCTTAACTGACTGGTTGGACGGTCCGTCATTGCAAATATTGCGAGCCCCAGTTAACCTTACATTCATTCCTTGCAGTCGTTGCGCATAGTGGTCGTTTGCCTCGAATATAGCCGCGAATTGCGGGCGTGTGTGGCGCAGTGGTCGGTGGCGCCCTGCAACACAAACGTCGCATCAATCTCCGCGTCCTTGGCCCACCAAGCCCTCCATCCCTCCGGAGACGGCAAACTGGTACCAGACTTGACTGGGAGGATAGCAGCACTGGCTTGATATATCGGTAGGCCACCGTGAGTCATTGCAAAGGCCAGATATTCATTCAATCACCTCCCACGATGCCTAGTGAAGTCGAATGCATGGCGCATCTCTCAGGGATTGATCAACGCCGAGATCTTTGCATGATTTATTGAGGATACTTGCGCCGAATTGGAATACAATCCTTAGTTTCTTTAGCTCATCTGCCGTCGACTATTCTCATTACTCGACTGGCTCGTATATGTTTTGCTTTCAATTTGTGTTCCTCTGACTCACGAATATGGGATAACTCGAAAGACCGACTTTCTATAAACCTCGGCATAGATAGTTGATATATTTATTTATGTGATCTTATAAACTGATCTTCTTAAGCTGACGCGAGGTTGGTACAGATCTTCGTTGTCGTTGTCGTTGTTTTTGATGTTATTGATCGATGGCTGACGTTTCGGCGACTTCGCCCTCCTCAGAGCGGGAGTCCCGCACGTAACATCACGGCTGATCACTGCATAGTTTTCGAAGGCCGCAGTCGCGAAGTGCGGCAATGTGCTTTGTCAGGGGCAGACACCGTCCAAGCACTCCATGCTTAATGCTCAAAATTCCTGATCACGTCGCTGAGGTGAAAAAACGGTGCCTCTGCTGTATAGCAGAGCGTGGGGAAGACTATTGAGTCGAAAACGAGAGAACGAAGTTCTAGGTGAATAGCCATACACAGCTCGTGCTCCTCTCCTTCCCTATTCTTCCTTATTCATGTTCTTCTTTTTTTCGTTTAAGATATCCTCTAATTTACCCTCCACTTTTGGCTTCGTTTCCATTGAATGATTCCAATCGAATGACTTCACTAGTCCTCGTAGTGTGGCATAAACATCTTTGGCGAAATACTACTGTCTTGTCGAATTCCTTTTCCTTTGGGAAATGGTAAGAGGCCGATGGAAAGCTGTATTTTTGTGGTGTGGTTGCGATCACAGTCATTGCAAGTTTTCGCCAGAGACTAATGGACTCGTTTGTTAAATTTGTAGCTTGGATTCGAATTCATTTAGAATCGTATTCGTTTCGTTGCAGTCGAGCGCTTGTCCGTAGGCCACCAAGGTTAGGGTGATGAGCAGATGGTACTATCGAACGACATCTATACTGAGATAAGATTTTCATGTGACCCATGCAGCAGAATCGTTTCGGAATTCTGCTAGCTCAACTGCTTTTGATTCGTCCAATGTCCGTTACATATGCGATAGAGCGATCTACCTGAGAAGCTTTTACTTTACATTCAAAAACAAATCCGGACGGCAGTTACGAAGATCCCTTCGATCGCAGTTCTTGGATTTGATGACCGTGCTCGAATCACGTAGTGCTCTGAGACAGTCTCATTTTGAAGGTAATGCATCAGAAGGATCACGTGTTACTTGTGGCTTCCAACTCGAAAGAAGCTGGCTATGATATTACCTGGTCCTGAAGCTGTCTCTTCATTTTTTTTTCTACAACTCTAACCTCGGACTGAATAATCCATGATGGCTACAGTTGTTGTTAAATCACCTTCTTTTACAAAGACTAACAGCAGAGCTGTAGGGCGCGCGTGGCGCAGTTGTTGGAGGCGCTCTGCAATACACATGGGATCGATTCTCAAGCCCCTGACCCACCAGGCCTTCCATCCGTCCGGGGTTGGAAAATTGGTACCAGACTTGTCTGGGAGGAGAGCAGCTCTGGATCGATACATCGGTAGACCGTAGGCCACCATGAGTTATTGTAAAGGCCAGATATGCATTCAATTACCTCCAACAATGCTTAATGAAGTCGAATGCGTGGCGCACCTCTCAGGGATTAATCAGTGTCGAGAGCTTAATTCTTTTTATCCTTTCAGAAGCAGAATATTATACTCGCAAAAGTTTGGACGCCATTTTTGAAGATTGGTTCTTTTTTTCGAGTTGCTTTCCCAAGTTTGTTCTGCTCGTACCGACGTAAATCCTCGTGCAACGTCTTCTACAGTTGACATTTATTGCTATTCGCATTCGATGCATTTCTATAGCACTGAGCCTCAGCATTATTTTTTCTCAAACAACTTTTTGGTGATGATGAAGCATTGTCTGAGCTTTTTTTGATAAAATCAGGTGAGCTCGGCACAACAATTAAGTCTTTCGACGAGCAGCTTCGGTCTGCTATTCTTTGTCAGTGAGCTAAGGAAAGGATTTCGTTCAAAATATGCAATTTATCATATGCGATCCACTCGAACAAATAACAACCCGAATCGGACGTTTACGATTAAAAGGATATGGATCAATACTGGCTTTGACAATCTTCGTCGTTTGCGGGCCGACAACAACAAACCATGACGAAGAAGAAGTCGAAGCGTTTTATTTGTACTTGGTGAAGTTCTACAGAGAAGACCACACATTCTTCAACGTCATCATTGAATATTTCAACGCCAAGATTGGATCAAGAAGAACTTCTGAAGAATGTCACATTGGGACCCACGGATTAGAATGGAACGAACATGGTGAGCGGCCACCTGAGTTTATTATGGCAACCAAGACAATCCATGGTAACTCGCAATTCCAGGAGCCGCACCCTTAGCGCTGGACGTGGGAATCTCCCAATGGAGAATACCATAACGAAATAGACCAAACCATAGTAAATAGAAGGTTTTGCCTAACTGATTTCACTGTTGTTCCAAAATTCTACACGAGATCAGACCATTGCCTCCTTCGTTCAGGATTCTATTTCTCGTGGAAAGGAGAAAAAACCGGTAAATTCAAAAACCGGTGTCCCAGAACCGCCACAAACTGCGATTTATTCAATTCATTAGTCGGCTGTTGGGAAGATATCGTGGTCGTTAACATCGACGAGGAATACGGTCGGCTCATTCAACATCTTCACGTTAGCGCCATGAACGCTCAGAGTTCGAAAGTCACCGAGAGACATCTGCCTCCAGAAACACTCGAACTGATACGCCAGCGTGGAATCGCACGAGCTGCAGGCAACCGCGAACTAACGTCCAAACTTGCAAAACAATGCATACAGGCGATAAAAGAAGATCTTAAAGAGGGAAGAGCATCAGAAATGGTTGAAGCAGCAGACCCTGGGAAAAGCATTCGCAAAGCCTACCTAAGCTTCGCCAATTATAAGACCAAGATGATTGCACTCCGACGCCCAGACGGAACAGTTACAGCGTCCAGAAAGGTAATGGAGAAAATCATTCACGAATACTACTCAGATCTCTTCGAAAGCCACGTCCACCTTTCGTCATATGAAATAAAAGAGGATGGATATGTTGTGCCACCGGTTCTCCCTTCCGAAATCCGACATGCCATTTCGACGGTGAAAAATCGAGGATAAGAGCACCAGGTCCAGAGAGGTTAAGATCGGAACAACTGAAGAAGCTTCCGCCAGTCCACCTGAACGTACTGGCTCGGCTCTTCACACGTTATCTGTCTGAATGCAAGGTCCCTGCTCAGTGGATATGCCGTTCTGTATGCCAAACAGTCGAAGATAAGGTGGGCCAGACACGTTATGCGTATGAATAACAACCGTTGGACAAGAGCCGTTGGTGACTGGATTCCTCGGGATGTTAAACGTAGTGCAGGAAGACCACCCACCCGATGGTCAGAGTTCTTCACAAAGAGCCTAGAAAAAAAAGAAAAAAAGATATTATGCTCAACGAGTCCTTAGAGCGGGCAGAACCCACTGGGCAACTCTTGCACGCGACAGGGAAAAGTGGAAGAATTACTGGCCCCGCTCAACTCACTCGACGACCAACGGAACCGCAGGTGATACAGGTAGATTCCCAGATTATGCCATTAATTGCTATTTCCCTCTTTTCTTAGTCCTGAAATTGCTTCTCAACCAGAATTTTTTATTCTAAACACATAAGAACTGACATTTGGCTTTTGCTAAAAAGAGCACTTATCGGTTCTATAAGCGAAAATGTACAAAAATGGTCAAGTAATACTCGAATGTCGTATTTTCAGACTGCACCTCTAGCTCGCTATATCAAAGGAAAGCTCATCGAAGGCGGCCCGCAAATGCTTCAGCTGAGCCTCGACGGAAAACGTCTATATGTGACAACATCGCTCTATAGAAACTGGGATTTACAGTTCTATCCAGAGTTGGAAAAGTAAGTATCTTGCAGAATAAGTTAAGGTAAACTACACAAGGAACATGCAGTTACTTCGGTTGACGCCTTAATAGTTCAGAGAAAAATACATGACCACTTGAAAACAACTTGTATTTCGCTTATATTAAAACAAGTCTTGCAACAACTTATTGGGAATTCCTGAAAGGCGACGACAAATAGGGCAACAAATGACAGTTTTGTCCCGGAAGCAAGGTCTCACAATATCAGAGAAGAGTTTCGTTTTTCAGACCTGTTGGTGCAGTCTCCAAAAATTTCGATCAAGTCCACTTTTGTGAACAACATCATAAAACTTGATTTGGTTGTTCACTAGACTGTAAGGATACGTAAAAGAAAAAATCAGCAGCACCCTGTGTCCGCTTTGCAACTGTTTAACAGTTACAGAAAAGAATTAAGCTAAGAATGGGTGAAAAAAGTAACTGTTTCACTTCCTCATAATTTCCAAACTACATGTAGTCCAATTTCACTAATTGTGTGTTCGATGACTAGCCATGTGATGACGGAGTGCCAGTTGTTTTGCTAGGTAAAGGATAAAGGATAAAGCTCCCGATGGTGATCAATCCATGAGGGATGCGCCATGCATTCGACTTCATTAAGCATCGTTTGGAGGTGATTAAATGCATATCTGGGCTCTACAATGACTCGCGGTGACCTACCGGTATATCGAGCCAGTGCTGCTATCCTCCCAAACAAGTCTGGTGCCAATTTGCTGATCCCGTAGGGAATGGAAGGCTTGGCGGGCCATGGGTGCGGGGATCGATTTCACGTGTGTGTTGCAGTGCGCCTCCGACCACTACACCACACGCGCCCTTTATTATATCGAATGTGTTTTGAAATCTGCTTGGCAAGGTTGTTATTCGGGACGTCAAAGGTACTCTCACCAGCCTTTTAAAAGCTTAGATGGTTTATCTCATTGCGCTTTGAGCATTTTAGTGCATTATTGACGGATAACAACGAAGGGGCGCTTGTGGCGCAGTAGTCTCAGGCGCACCGAAATATACACGTGAGATCGATCTCCGCGTCCATGGCCCACCAAGCCTTCCATCCCGCTGGAGTCGGCAAATTGGTGCCAGATTTGTCTAGGAGGATAGTAGCATTGGCTTGATACATCGGTAGCCATCGCGAGTGATTGTAAAGACCAGATATGCATTCAATCACCTCCAAAACGATGCTTAATGAAGTCGAATGCATGGCACATCCTTTAGGGATTGGTCAACGCCGAACGCTTTATCCTTTTTTCAACGAAGAAATCTATGAGGTTCTAAATGGTTGCTGAGCTGAACATTCTCAAGTCAGCGTTGTACCTAGGTGTGAACTTTATCACCTAAAGAACAATTGTGCAACGATTCCACTGAAACACGCGAATCAGTGTACAGAAAGTCTAGAAATGATGTTCTCTATTGAACTCATCTTCCAGACTTCCGCAAAAGTTGGTTTTCATGCAACAATTAGTGGTCATACTGTATAGAGGTGTGCCGCGGAGAACTATAATTCAGTACTCAGAAGCGCCACGTCGGTAATGAGAAGCACTAATGTTACCACGAAGCTAACAATAAGGGACGAAAGCATGTAACCAAACAAAGAAATGAAATTTTACAAAATCAGCTTTGCGTTTCGGAGTACTCAGTTCGGCAGAAACGAGTTGTCTGCTGAAGTGAATTGCACAATCGTAGCACGCAATCGAAGAGAGCTGTGGGTATCTGGCTAGGAAAACCACGTTGAGCCATATTTCAAGAAGAAAGCAACTGCTCAGAACTCCAGATCTGTAGTTTCAGTGAGAAATTGCACCACTGTTTTAAAGAAGCACAATTTTAAACAATCCACTATGTATGAGTCTCTCCCACCTAGTCATTTCTTTTTCACCGTTTAGAAGATTATAAGTGAGCCAATATCTATCTGCAGCATTGCGAATTTCTGTCCTCGCCTTGTTTAGGCGCCAGACTGGTCACGCAGGTTCTGGATTCATCCGTCACTTGACGATCGACAATTTCACATTGCTCTATCCTAAAACATAATAAAGTTGCGATGGTGACTCTGATAGTGCAACTGTCAATCACTACGAATTTTCTCAATACTTCGAACGATTACTTTAAACAGGTTTTCAAGATTATAATGCCAACTGTTTTTATATCGCATTAGGAGCGCTTTAAAATGCTAGTACCGTCTATCGTCGAGCACAAACACTATTCCCCGGTGCAGATGGTGCTTATTTGAAAATTCACACTTCTGACTACCGTATCCTTCTCTTGGATGACGTACCCGAAATTCCTCTTCTTCAAGTGTTTGAAAGAAACCTGTGCTGATTGGTCGAAAATTGTTTGCTGAGCTCACAATGCTTCCATTCTCCATCCTCGTTCTTCCGCTGCTAACCTTCATCGCCTTTATCTCTCCTTTCCTCTAGAAGTAATTCACTTATATCGAGAGCATAAGATTAACAAGGAGAATAGCAGCATTTGACCGTATTATTTCATCCACAGTTGAGTGTAAAGGTATCGTTTATCTGGATTTATTGTAGTATGCCCAAGTATTTCCAATGCAGTCAACACTTGTTTATATTGTTGAGTTGACACGAGGTTGATACGAGATGTTCATTGGGCTAACATATCGACGTCTTCGTCTTCATCAGAGCCGACGATCCTTGTCGATGGTGCACAGTTGTTCCTCTTCTCGATGTGGCGTCTTCGTCTCGCATCGAACCGCATTTTCCTCAGTTGAGCATTTTGAATGAGCCGGACACACCCGCGATGCTTTTTTATATAGCGCGCTTGTTGTTGATATGACTATCAGTTGATGACCGTTTGTTTTTCAACCGATAATCCACCCTGCAACCGTCGGTAGTTTATTAACTAGCACATGGCGAATAATAAAACAATAATTTTGAAACCGACAGTCATTTAACCTCGGTGCTATAATAATCAACATTTGTTTATATTGCTATTGTCACAATTATTCCTAATGTAATTGGGATAGAGAGTGATTCGCTCGGTATCTGGAATCCTTTGCTAATTATGCCGTCTAACATTGAAATTTTGCCGTTTTTCTTGAGATCTTGCCAATATGTGTACGTGAAGTTTTAGACATATTCTAGAGTAATGAACGCACTGCTCTCTTGTTTATTATTCCTTGCCACTGTCTTCTCTTTGGCTGGTCAGGCTGCCGTCCAACAGCTGACTATGACTGGTCCACAACCGCCGTCACAATTACAAGCACCACAACAACAACCAGGCGTCGGTGGCGGATATTATGGAAACTACCAGCGCGGATACTATGGAGGCAGCCCTAGCGGATATTATGGAAATTACCAGAGCGGGTACTATGGAAGCTCCCATAGATATGGAGGGTACCCTGGATATGGATCCTATCCTGGAGGATATGGAAGTTACCCTCAAAGTGGATATGGAACCTACGGTAGCGGCACCAACAGCCGCTCCCCTGGAATTCTCAGGGCCCTATTCGGCGGCAGTAACGCTGATACAAATACTCTTCTAGATGCCGCTGACGAAGCATTGCAAGCTCTTCAGCAGGCAGGATAAGTTATAAGCATTTTTGAAGTCACACACAAGAAGCTTCTTAAGTTTTGCATTTTCGTGTAATAAATACAGATCTTATTAAAACTTTAAGCAATGTCTATAGTGTTTTCTAGGGAATCTTTTACCAAAATGGATGTATTTTTTCATTTCCTAGAAACAACGACCAGTGAAGATTATACGAAAGTGTTATAACAAGTATTTAGCTTAAAAACGTCGTCGAAATTTGAGGTTTCCATATAATTGTATAAGAGATTGTGATGGACCATCTAGTCTTAGACGCCTGTTGAAATCCTTTTAGGTGCTCCGTTGGAAACGTTTTGAAATGACGATTGTTCAGTACTGAAGAGGGAAAATAAATTGCATTCGTGGTGAAGAATATCTTGCTACTGTCTTATTTCCTTTTTCACAAGTTTTCTAAACGACCTCTTTCACATTTACTTTGCGGGTCCCAGCAGTTTCCGCCTTCTATTTGTTTCCTCACACCCATCATCCGAGAAGGTTTTCCAACATTTTACGCATGGCTTCGGCTCCTATTTCGGTATTTTCTTCGATCATAAATGTTGTCGAATGCTCGTCCAGTCGTCCAGCCCTTTCAGCAGTTGAAAAACCAAACAGACATGAATGAAAAAATTATTTGTGAAGTTAAAGATCACTTGGTTGGGGCATTTACACACAATCAAGGGCATTAAGACCTGCTCCGAAAATTCGTTAATAAAGCTGGAAATTCTCTGCACACAGATGACATGTAGAAGGAAAGCACATGGCAACTATGTGGTTCCAGTAAACCTCAAACGAAAGACGAAAAGCGCTAAAAAAGCTCAAGTTGTTTCAAACGAGTGAGATGTATGGTAGGCGTTCCGGCTTCCTTCAAAGGATTTTGCAGCAACGTGCGCCATGTGTTGTCGTTCATTTGTTTTTTTGATAAAACGAGGAATTTGTTCTTCATTAATCAGCTTATTGGTTCTTCCATATTCCTTGAACGTTTGGCTAGTAGATATGGTGTGATCTCTGTAATAAAAATCATACTTATCGATTTATTTGCAACTACATCATACTTTTTTGTGTACCCCTGGCGACTGTCTTCAGGAAATCAAGGAAAAACAATTTGCATACTCATCAGAAAACTAGAGAATAAATGAAGTGCTTTGTCGGAGTGAAAACTGCATATCACTTAGATCGAGTTGTTATACAAGCTGTGTCCATTCCTTGGTCAACGAGAACTGATTGATGATGATTGATCGAGGGCTTCGTTCAATTCCGCCGAAAGGTTTTCCGTCGTCAGAGAAGCTTAAAATAAGGAGAGATGGTGTTAGCAGTAACATTCTATGACGTCGTACGCTGTTTATGGACCATGCCGAAAAATACCTTCTATTTGTCCAATTAGTTGAACTCCTTGCAATGTCGGCTTAAGCTTGAGAAAACCTCGCGTCAGTTCAAGAAGATCAGTTTATAAGATCATATAAATAAGTATATCCTTGCAATGTCTTTTATACATTCGAAAGCTTAGTCCTTGTGAAATATTATTAGTGTGTGTTTAACAAGAAACTCCGAGGAAAGCCGTGAAGATCTTTCCGCTCAGAATTTGATCGAGATTCTTCACTGATCAGTGGTCCTTTCCTTTCGAAGTGGGGAAGTGTGCACAGCTCGTCGCTTCCAGCATGAAGTTAACGAGTCGGGTGTGGTGTTTTCCTTAGTAACTCTGCCTCTGGTCGTGCTCTTGCTTGCAATTCGCACTTCACAGTGTAATTTTGTAAATGGATTTTCCCCCAAGCTCTGATAAGAGTAGCATGAAAAGAATAGCGCGTAAAAATCTGATTAGAACCATTTCGTTATTTGTTTCGAACGTGGGCTGAGGAAGCGGAAATATCGTCGTCGTTATGGTAATGACGGACTTTGAAAAAAAAATAATTGCCGAACTTCATATTCGAGGTTCTAGAAGAATTTCCTATAATGGGGATGGGCATTTGTACTGCTTCCAAAAGTTTCTTCTCCACTCACTGTCAATTATACCGTATTGATTTTTCCATGTTACCGTTTGATTCGACAGAATTTTGAAGTCTTTAGGTGAACAGCTCGTAGTCCGGGTATTACTTTATAACTGCCAATTTAGTAATGGAATCCTCCAGAAATATCTTGTTTGTTGACAACATCTTCGTTTGTAACGGCGGGCGGCTATATCCTCTGTTGAACCCATTATTTACACAAAGAAGCTATCATCGGATTTTATTTTTAGTAATGACCACACGAAATTCTGAAGATGGCGCTATCTTTTGTATATCAGGTCTAGCTGTTTTTCTGCAGGAGTATAAATATAGATGTGCCTTAATTGCCAGCACAGCGGGGCAGTTTCAATGAAAAACGAAATACATTCCGGACTCTCATCTAAGGGGTTGATTTTCAGACATCTGTGTTAGGCTGAGAGAGATGCGAAATACCCGAGTGGCATGGTGGAGAACTCGTTAGCCCTCGGAAAGGGTAATATCGCGTTCGTTCTCCACCGCAGACACTTGCGGTTCGGTATTTTGCAAATATCTCAGTTTCATTATGGTTGCATTCCACAGAATGACCTTGCCGTGAAAAATTGCAGTTGGCGGCAAATAAAAAGTTAACATCTTGGTTTTTATTGACTTCCGCCTGTCCTTTTTCTTTTCTCGACATCTCTGGCAGACAAGTGGTAACAGGCTTTCTCGCAGCAGGATTTGATCAAATAAGAATCAAATGAAACCTATTTAATAATAGTTTACTCCCATTTGCGAACACACACGAGGTTGTTGCGCTTTTATTCGACTAGAGTTTCGGCATCTTCGTCTTCCTTAGAGCCGATAATCCATGTCGATTGTCCACAGCCATTCCACCGTCTGACGTTGGGCTATTGCGATGTTATAAAAAACTGGGTTAGTTTAAACAATGGAAAAACAGCAATCGATTTATTCGCCGTACTGGAGAAAAATTACATTGATATTTCTTGTTGTTATCTTCTCTTCAACACCACTAGTAAAAATAAGCCGGTCATGTTCCTCTTGGTCCTTCGGTTATGTTTAACTTGATGTGATATGCTGCCTGTATGAGAGTTTGAAAATCGGCTTCAGAGGAAACTGTTCGGTTATTGCTGATGCAGAACAAAAACAAAAAAGTTTAGTGCTGTTTTCCACCGATACCAACAACGGTCGTTTCACTTTGAGATTTGATCATTTCTTCCCAGATATATCAACATGCCATTGAATGGTCATAGAGACTGCCGTGTTGGTGATCGAGAGTTTTCTTTTCTGAAACCCGGAAATAGCTATAACGGGCCATCGAAATCTTTTCAGAGAGATTTTCTAGTCTTTTGAGATGTTAAAACAATGTCTTCTTTGAGTACTGCTCCTACTGTCGCTTTTTCATAAGTGACCTTATTTTACAGTACAGCAGAAATAAATATTTGTTTGTGAGCTCTACACTAATTAGCTAGTTTCTTGAGGAGCGGAGCGGTGATGATGCTTGTGAACATCGCCGACGACGGCTCCATGACGCTAGATGAAGGCTTTTTAGTGGACTTCGGTTCCATGCAAGGAGGCCCCTATCTTGCACACGAAATGCGCTACCCCGGAGGCGACTGCACCTCTGACATCTGGATTTGAATTACGTAGCCCTTGTATTATATTTATCGTTTTCTCATTTCCGTTAAAACTTATTTCTTAAAATAAATCTTAGCTCTGTGCATAATAAATTGTAACAGGTCACATTTGTTAGCGCAACGAGTTCGAGCGGTGCCTCCAACACAGTGGTTGAGATCTTCTGCAGCATGGACGTAGTTGGTGGTACGAATTACTGACCTAGGCACATCAAGTCCTCCATCCCTCTGGGGTTAATAAATTGGTGCCACACTTATTTGCTATTATACCAAGAATTTGCATAACTCGATCTCCACATGAATAATAAACCACTTTAACTCAAAAACTTGCAACATAAAAATATTACCAACATTATAGCAAGTAACATGTAAGATTTTATTATAAGGAGCGAAGTATCAACATTAAGCGAATAGGGAACGCGTGCAGTTCAACGAGAACATTAGGGCGCGTGTGGCGCAGTGCTCGGAGGTCCTCGTGCCCATGCTCCACCTAGCCTTCCATCCTTTCATGGTCGGCAAATTGGTCCCAGACTTGTCTGGGAGGATATGAGCACTGGTTCGATACATCGATAGGCCACCGAGAGTCATTGTAATGACCAGATATGCATTCATTCACCTCCAAACGATGCTTAATGAAGTGGAATGCATGGCGCATCCCTCAGGGATTCATTAACGCCGAGGGCTTTATCGTTTTTTTATAGAGCATCATATGGATTTCGCTAGAGAGATTAATTTTATTGTCCTAGAAAACATTCTCAGAGTTCTTCTCAAAAAATACATTTCGCCAGTGCTTATTCACTGCGAGGAAGTATATCAACCAAAGACGGAATAGTTGTTGCTTTTGCGAGTAATTTAACATGTATAACCGTAGATGCGAGGAAGTAAATACATCGGAAGCCACTTTTCCCTTTCTTTAGACGCCTAGTCCAACGTTTCTCTTCCTCACATCTATGTCAGTATAAGTTGAACTCTTTATACTGAAAAGACGCTTCACGAAGTCTCGGGGCACGTGCAGGAGAGTGGTTAGAGGTGCTCTACAACACACACGTGGTTTTTGGTTCGATCCCGCGCCACAGGTTCACCATACCTTCGAATCTTTCGAGGTTGACAAGTTGGTATCAGATTTTTTGCAAAGATGGTACCGCTGATTTTAATTACTGATACGCCTGCTTAGGTCGTTGTATAAGCCAGTCATGCACCTCTAAAGATGCTCACCGAAGTCAAGTGCATGGCATATCCTTCCGAAATTGGTCAACTCTGGAAGAAAGGGCAAGGCAGCTCCACTTATACAAAATGTCATGAGAAAATGACGAGAAGGGTTATACAAAAAAGGTTCATCAGTTAAAGAAAAGAAAGGTTTGCACGAAAATGGTTTCTAAAACAAGAGTTGTAACAGTGCAAATATTGATTGGTAAAATGTGATTGGTAAAATATGAAGAACCAAAGAATACTCTTTATTTTAAGGTAATCGAAATGTGTTACTCTTTTTAATCAAATACAATTAAGCTTCAAAATTATCACTTCAACATGTATAAGACTGAAGCGGCGCAGTTTCTAGAAGTCTTTAACTAAGTTTCCAAAAGCTCTTATATACAAGTATTTCTCATTACCATTTCTTAATTTTTAGTATAGGGGCGGATAGCACAGTGGTAGTAATGTCGATCGCCACAAGTATGGTTATAGTTCGATTCCACTCCGAGCCAACCAAGCCTCTGATCCCACCGGGATCGGAGAATTGGTACCGGACTAATCTGGGGAAAAAAATTGCTTTCTGCAATCCAACTGAAAACGCTTCAGCCCGGCTATCTCAGGACTCCAGGAAGAATTTCTCGACGAGCATTCTACTACAAGATGAAATAAAAATCCTCAGAGACCAACTGAAACTAGACATAAAGTTGGAAGATCCTCATGGACAACGGATGCGAGGAAACGAATCGAATGTGATAAGCGCTGGGATCCGCACAGTAGGCGTGAAGACGGGTCGTATAAAAAGACAATTTCTAGTATTTATGAGCCTCAGTGTTTGTAAACTCGTAAATATATCCTCATATATAAATTTATAGAGGAAAAGGTATACCAATTTGCTTGGTCGTATTATCCTCCGTCAGACGAGTAAATCGGTGTTGCCCTGCAAAAATGTTGGGCATAGAGATAGCAAAGTTCTTTGCGATCCTAAAGATCGACGTCTTCCTCTGGTCAAGAGCTACAAACCCTGCTATGACGTGGTTCAAAGAAAAATCGTACTCAACCATACCACTAATTAATGTCATAGTAAGGACAGAAAATGACAATACTCGACACCATAATTTCCAAACTGACCGTCTTTTAAGCTCGGTAGTAAGTATAGACGAAGTTAATCAATTATCCTCTTTCGGTCAGCGCTTAGACGGTTTCATCTTCATCAGAGCTGATAATCCGAGTCGATGGATCACAGTTGTTCGTCTTCTCGATGCGGCGTCTTCGTCGTCGTACCGAGTCGGATTGTCGTACAAACAACAACCGCCCTCTACAAACGAGCGCTGCCGTGTGAGTTTGCTTCATTCGTGCGATGTTCCACCGAAGAAGATCCGTCACTGTACGACAGCGTAAGGCCATATTGAGGAGACGAACAACTGTTACCTATCTTCTCAGATCATCTGCTCTGATGAAGACGAAGACGTCGAAACGTTAGCCGAAGAAATCTAATTTATCAACCTCGTGCAAGCAGAACGATTTAAACACTTGTCGTTTATCTAATACAATTTCGGTGGATTACAAGTTATACGGAGGACGAACAAAGAAGAGTTTAATGATGCTGAGATGCTTGCAAAACTCCGGACCGCAGGTGTATGCGGTGAGGAACGAACGCGCGTTATTGCTCTTTCCGGGGAGTAGCGCACTTCACCACCACACCATCCGGGTCCTTCGTTTTGCCTGTCTCTCAGCTAGTTCTATTGATCTTTTGCCATTAGCAATCCGGTGGTGGTCAAGTGCGCTACTCCCCGGTAAGGACAATAGCGCGCGTTCGTTCCCCACCGCATACACCTGCGGTCCGGAGTTTTGAAAATATCTCAGCATTATATACGAGTTATATTTCGCAACATACCGCTGCAGTTATAATCACAATTTTAACTTATTATTTACTGCCTACTCTTTTTAACGGACACGTTGCCGATTTGGGCTTCCCAGATCAATCCCGATGACGAGTAATGGCTGGTGGCAAAAGTCCGATAGAACTAGCTGAGAGACAGGCGAAACGAAGGACCCGCATGGTGTGGTGGTGTATACGTTACTCCCCGGAAAGGGAAGTAGTGCGTTCGTACCCCACCACAGATACTTGGGGTCCAGAGTCTTGCAAATATCTCAGCATCGTTAAAGTTATATTTCGCAATATATACCCTAACGTTAAAAAGAGTAGGCAGTAAATAATAAGTTAAAAAGAAGAGTTTATTTCGAAGAAAATGGGAAAAATTGTAGAGTAAACGGATAGATAATTTCACGCTTTGCAGTACGGAAGCAGAGACAGCTGGAACTCGTAATGTAAACTTTGCAATACAACAAAGTGTCCATCGTCATGTATGCAATCTGAAACGCCTTTGTACTCAACAGAAAGCAAATCGGTTCCCTTCATAGGCAATGGTGAATCGCTTGATGCTCCTGACCAACGAGAGTGTCGCTAGAGTAGAATCAGCAGAACGAATTTGCACAACACCTAATTTTGGAATGAGCCGGGAATAACAACTAATAGCCAACGAAGAGAAGTAGTTAGAAATTTCTCTCTTCGTTTGATTTTTTGTCTGTTGCTCTATCACGTGGCACATTTCTTGCCTAACGAGCTAACAGGCTAACAGCAGGTTGACTTATTATTTAGCAAGCGTTGGACTCTGTGTTATCAATATTTCAACTTTGGAATGATTTTCAGAGAAATCTTTTTGAATCTCCAAATCTCTAAGCTTCGAAAAGTCGAATTCAGATCTTTAGCTTCTTTGAATGATTATTTGAGTGGTTTGATCCAAGTGATGAGTTTATTTTCTTTGAGGGATTCGGTTCATTAGATCCTCTTCGAGCAATTGGTCGACAAATAACACGATTTGTAGCTGTCACTGGAATCGTTGTTGTGTTGGAAGAATCCGATCCATAAAACAGCAAACTCCCCATTCTGCTGACACAAATAGGTCACCTTTCTGTGGTGACTGCCCGAGAACACCGTAGTCCGGGTTCCCAAAAGAAAACCACGTTAAGTTGTCCCTCAGCATCTCAACGCGGGACGACTTCGAAACATGCTCAAGTTACAGCCGAATCCACATCAGTACCTGACCACGGCTACGGGCCACGGTTGTAAAATAACCCAACGAACTGATGAAGTACTGGGCTCACCAAGACTTGTGAAATATCGGGCTAAATGCTGAGATATTTGCAAAACTCTAGACCGCGGTTATTTGTGGTAGGGATCGAACCCGTTACTATACTTTTTCGGCGTTAACGTGTTCGCCACAGCAACATACGACTCCTTCGCTCCGCCTTTCTCTCAGCCATGTTTAATGGGTGCAATCCAAGTATTATTTTCGTGAGATATTTTGGCTTTTCCTGCACCAATTACTGTTCTTTTAAAAAAACATACATTTTGAGAAATTTTTTGAAAGGTTCTGAAAGAAAATGAAACTAATTCGAAATAACCATGGTTCATGATAAAAATTGTGTTGCCAAATTGCTCATGTAAGGAGGATTTTACTTGCTATGTAACTACCTGTAATTGGTTCAGGCTAGCTGAACAAGCCGAAGTTTTCACAATTGACTTCATTACCCCAGAAAACTAGCTGAGAGACCGGCGAAACGAAAGACCTCCATGGTGTGGTTGCGAATGCGTTAATTCCCGGGAAGGGTAATAGCGCGTTCGTTCCCCACCGCAGACCGCTGCGGTCCGGACTTTTGCAAATATCTCAGCATCATCTTGGTTGACTTCATTACTGTTGGATTTAACAATTAGGCAAACTTGGAACTGTTTCGATGAAGCTTTTCAGAGAGATCATGGAGAAAGTACAAAACACCAGCGGCGAACTCAAGGGTGCGAACAATCATGGCGTCTCGGATAATTTCAACTACAACACCTGTTCTCTCGTCATCCATATTTCCTCTCCATTTTCGCATTCGTTTCTCACTCTTTAATCCAAAGAATAAACTACCGACTGTTTGTGTTCTCACACAGTCCCACACTCACTGTTCGATTTCGAAAAATTCAATAGCACTCGTTTATCCGCAGAAAGAAAACGCGTTGGCTCCTCCCTGAAGTTTCCGGAGACAACAACCATACATTTATCTCTCGCATCCACAGCTAGTTCCACGTTTTCCATTGATTCTTTTCTTTTGTTCTAGATTTTGATTCCTAGCTGTTTACGGTCGCTTTCTCTTCACAATCTCAGGATTATGACCTGAGGAGGCGACGTCTTCAATGCAGTCGTTGGAAAATACCAACCAGAAACATGGCTATAGAAGCATTTAATCTCTCCTTATTTCCTTCCACTTACCATCGCTCTCTAGGCCTTCTCTTACTCTCATTCTGCTTCACGTCAGAATCGCTTCCTTTTCCTCCTCACCTCCCTATTCATGTTCACCTACTCCGTTTGTGCTTTATTGCTGTCATTTCAGTTATATTTGTCAAATTCATATGTATATTGATGATATTAAAAATATCCTTCTTTCACTCAATACCAATATCACTCATGAATTTAATGTTGGATAAAAAATAAGCATTACCTACTTACCGTAAGGAAATTGTTATCAATTTTACGATAACTCTATACAAGGTTTTTTGCAACGTGATGGTAAACTTACGAAATGAGGAAAAATGAAGTGGTAGTTACTGTAAATTACGACTCTCTCAGCTTTCTAAGGCACTCATGTCGTTCTACGCAGCTTTGCGTTCCTCTGCCTCACGATTGCTATTCAATGTACTACGTCAACACAACCTGCACATAACAAAGCTCTAAAGTGATGATGGTGGTAAAGCAAACATTTATGAACGAATGACAAACTGTAGAACACCCATATGAAAATCCGAATCGTACGAATGCACTTTCTTCCCAAGAGTCGAAGTAAAAGCAATAGGAACTTACCGATATGAGAAATGAACTTTAAGAAGCTAATCAATACTGCTCGACTTTTGATAGCTGCATGTCTAATGTCCTGACATTCCGTACTGTCAAGTCTGTTCTTACCCAAAATCATTGTCCTATCAGTTGTAAGCTGCTTCCGAATCGTGAAGTGGAAGAAACTTCTACGATCTATTGAGGAGCTTTAAAGTTGATATTCTATTACATCGTTAAAGGAACTTCTTTTTCTACGTGATTGGAGAATCTGTGCGTCAAATCTTCAAATTTCCCGACTCGTGTGAGCAAAAGCTATTCACACTTTCAAGTAGACTGATTTTGACTTTTCTTTGCAATCACTGATATTTATATTAACAGATTAAGCAGATTTCAGAGATGAAAAGTTGCGGCGATTATCGACTGGTATGGGAGGTGTTGCTAACAGTACTCGTCCTCCTCCGTTCACAAGGCTCCGCTCTCAAATGCTACGTCGGCGAGTTTGTTTTGTCATCAGAAATTATGCACAAGTTTTCAAAAAAACCGTATTTTTAAGGCTAAGAAATAGAAGGTGGCGGATAGCATAGTGGTAGTGATGTCCATCATCACGAGCATTGTTGTAGTTCGATTCCGCTCCGGGCCAACCAAGCCTCTCTTCCCTCCGGGGTCGAGAAGTTGGTGCCGGGATTGTCCGGGAAAAAGCAGTCTCTGCAATCCATTCGAGAACGCTTCAGCCTGGCTATCTCAGGACTCCGGGGAGAACTGCTCGACCAGCATTCTACGATATTCAAGATGAAATGAAAATCCTCAACCAGCAACCGAAGCCACATGTAAAGTTGGAAGATCTTCGCGGACAATGGATGCGAGGAAACGAATCGAATTTGCTGGGATCCACACAATAGACGTGAAGATGAGTCATACGAAACGAAACAAAATAGAACAAAATGAAATAAAAAGAAATAGAAGATATACAATGGGAAAGGAGGTTTGAGAGCAAGTGCGTTTTTCTGAACTTTGAATGGTTGACTAATCATGCAATTTGGTGTACCAGAACATCATCGAAAAGCATCCATGCGTAATTCTTACGACTAATGAAGGTCTCTTTTTTCCTGCCTTAGGAGAAATACGAGAGCACAAGATACTTCCTCTTCACAAATTCCAAGAGCATTTGTACCGAATAGCAGCACTGCCTTATTAATACAGGGTGGAGAGCAACTACTGTTGCTGAAGAAAGCATAGACGTTTTAGTGGAATTTTATGATGCAAAAATAAAAGCATAAAGGACAACGTGTTCGGCGTTAATCAATCGCTTAGGGATATGCTATGCACTCGATTTCATCATACGTCGTAGAGGTGTTGAATAGCTGGCCTGTAAAATGACTTACGGTGGCTTACTGATGAATCAAGACGGTGATTTCATCCTTCCACACAAATATGATGCCAATTTCCCAACTCCACATACACAGGGCATGGTTCGGATATGTGCAAGCGATGTTACGGTGTTGATTTAGGTTCGAAAGGTTTCTCTAAGAACGGGAGCGCAGTGCGCAGTTTTGTCCCGAACGACTGTGAGGAGGAGATGACGCACTGCTTCGGATCGTACACCGACGATTTCTCGCAGATCACCGCCTCCTGTCAGTCGCTGAACACCGAGCAGCGGCTGCTAGACGTCTGCAAGGTGCGTATGTCCACCCTCTTTCTCAATGCGTGCCATGCATTCTTGCAAATGCATTCTCAACATTCTCACCTTCATATTAAAAATTCAATGTTGCAGCGAACTCCACAAAACAGTGGTGCATTTAGAATTAATTCTATACCAGAAATAGGGCGTTGTTAGACTTTCCGTGCCGTAGTCGCCAACACTTACCGTAGTTTCCCATAATATTAAACTACTACCCATCTTAACAACCCATTGAGACAATCTTATTGGTAATTCGAAAGACGAACTTCCAGTTAATCTCGGTATTGTTAATCAACCTATATGATCTTAGGAACTCTTCAGTAAACTTGCACAAGGTTATTATTACGTACTTTGATGTCCGATGACGCATGTACCAGCAACTTTCCCTTCCTCAATGCCGTTTTCATTTTCAGAGAGTGTGACCACTCATATTCATCACCCACTGTGAACAATAAATGAGTGGTCCCGCTCCTTTGAAACAAAAACAATTCTAAAGACGTTGACGTCGCCGAAACGTTAGCCATCGATCAACAAAATGTGCGCGACAAACCTCAGTGTAAGCTCAATACAGTTCAGAAGATAATTTCACTGGTAGTTCTCTACAGGACTCCACTTAATAATTCTACTAACTACTAATTCTCAACTCTTCATTTATATGAATGCGTCGTTTTCTTGTTCAGCAATCGCGAGGTTTTTAAACAGCATACATTTACTTCCATGGAGAAACACAATACAATACAACATTAGCTGACGTTTCGGCAGTATCGCCTTCTTCAGAGCCTGGAAGGGTATACTGGTATACAATCTACTACGCCAAACGCTTCAATAACACTTACAAAAAGACGAAAAACTCTGGTAATTCCATGATCTTCATTTATAGTGTAGTTCATATCAGGAGAAGTGCCATAATAAAAATAGTAGAATTCAACTACCTTTTCCATTCATTTAAATATACATTCACAATGTTAACTTTTAATTTGCTGCCTATTATAATTTTTCATATGTGGAATACAACGACAATGGTGCTGAGATATTTCCAAGACTCCGGACCGCAGGTGTCTGTGGTAGGGAATGAACGCGCTATTATTCTTTCCAGGGGCTGAACGTTCACCACCACACCATGCGGGTCCTTCGTTTCGCTTGTATCTCAGCTAATTCTATTGATCAGTGCCATCAGCAATCACCCGTCAGCGGGATTGATCTGGGGAACCCAAATCGGCAATGAACCCAGTTAAGCTGAGGCTTTAGTTGTAATCACAATCTTAACAGTTTTATTTACTACCTACTATTTTCTACTTACTTCTTCTACTCTACTGCCAGCTTCATTATCGTTATACATTCACATTTTGCAATACACCTGACCACGTCCTTACACTGGTTTCCTCCCCAAGAGTACTGGTATTCTTCATAGCTACAAATTCACTTTTTTACTTCTCCATCACACTTAATGAAGTTACCTAGTCATTTTTCTTCGGAATACTGATCCACTTAGAATCTGTAAATTGGCAAACTCCCCTAAAAAATTTTAACCTATTGAGGCAATTTTGTCGATAGCAATCTTCACTCATTCAATGAGCTAGGCATAAACCAAACAATTATGCTACTTTTCCCACTAAAGATAGCAATCTGTATTTAGCGAGCTTAACAGTTACACCGTCATTCGTGTTTCATAAGCACAACAAAAATACCACAAATTTTTGCGATTACAACACAATCTGCAACTTATTCGAGTTAAATCGCGTTTTTCAAATCTGCTATTCGCTCATCGTAAAAAAGAAGCATATCTCTAGTTTTCAGGAAGGTTGTCGCAACCACACCGATCTTCAAGTGACCATCTGTTGTTGCGGTTCAGACCTTTGCAATCTTCCTCCGGAGGAAAAGAATCCTGAACAAATCGAGGCAAGCACTGTATATGTGACGACTGAGCTTGTGGAGCAAGAAGAAAACCTAAGTGCGAACTCGACTGCAGTCTACACGACTGCGACAACCTCAGCAACTCTTCCTTAAAATCCCAGGTTTCCGCAGCTTATGCACTAGTACCACTAAGAAATGCACGAAAGTCCTATCATGCAGGAAAAATCAAAAATTTAAAGGAGTATATAATCACTGTGGACATACAACTTAGCTATTTCATTACTAAGGCACCACTCATTATTACTACCACGGCAATGTTTACTTTTCTCGATAAAGCTCTGTCAGTGATGCACTTCCAGGATGAATATCTCCCACCTCGGGAAATGTTTTCATCACAGTCAATCTCTTAAGTTTTAAAAACCCATATTCTAAACCAAAAATATATCCATTACCTTTTTTGCTTCAGTAATATGGAAAAGCATGCAAGGCACAACCAATGCCTTTAGGTAAAATGCGACATTTATTTGTAACCAATTGCATTGCGATTGCAGATCCCTTGCCTGGAAGTCGGTAAGCGTGCACTTCCATTACTTGTAAATTGACATAGGCTAATAGTTTCTGGATTATCAAAAGAAAATAAATTAACAATAGATTATAAAGTGAGGAAGCTAAGGAAATGTGCACTGTAGACAAAACCACCCTAACGCATTATGCGGCCTTTCGCATCGTGGCGGGATGCGTTCCCAAAGGTTTAATTGCAAAAAAAAACTTACTTGATAATTGAATGGCCTGTCCTTACTGGTTGCGCGGGCCCTAGCACAATCTGCATTATTCGGAGATTTGCTGGTTAAGCCACTATGGTTCCCTGGAATCTCGAGGTCAGTCTGGTCAAAGTCCGCTCCTGGTCTTCACCACTACAGACAGTTGCAGCCCTTGTGGATCAGAGGGAGATTTGCCACCATGCGACTTTGATACCAGAACGGTGGATGATCGTGGTATTGGTTTACTCTTCGCTAGGCTTCCTGATGGAAACGCCGGACTCATTCTCAGCTTGGGAGACCCAGCCAGAGAATGAATCTCCGCTGTAGATCGCAGTCCAACACCCAGAAGCCCTCCCAGCCACGATGAGGCGGTTAGGAGGTTTGATAAAAAGCCTGGTTTTAAACTCATAGCGAGGCCACCCAAACTAATAACGGTTTCAGCATTCCCACCTAGAAAATAAACTAACACTAACCCCAGTCCACAACATGTCCCGTGGACGAATCAGCGGCCGCATTCTCACCAAAAAAAAGCCGAGAAAAGGAATCATATCAAGAGTTTGATGCTCTCCGTGCCTACAAAAATAGGCTAGCGTCCACTCGTATTGATTAACTACTAACTACTAAATGTGACTATAGATCGAACTTACATCACCTTTAACCCCCATTTAAACAAATCAGTACACCAGACTTCCCTGCTTAGAATTACTCAGAATTATTCACTGATCCATCGTAAAAACCAAGATAAAAGGCTAACTTTTAAACGAAGTTCTTCGCAAATTAACAAATGAAGATTGGTAACAAATGAACAGAAGTGAACACAGTAGTGTTACGAGTGTGAAAACAAGAGTCACTATAGTTTAAATGAATATACTTTGTTTCATTGATAAGCTAACACGAGGCTGTTGCCAATCATTTACTCGGCTAGCGTTTAGACGTCTTCGTCTTCATCAGAACTGACGATCAGAGTCGATGGTCAACAGCCCAAATACAACCGTCCTGTGTAAAGGAACATCGCCGGGTGAGGTTGCCTCATTGGAGCGGTGCTCAACTGAACAAAATAGGACTCGTTACGACAGCAAAGACACCACTTCGAGACTACGAGCTACTGTGGACCATCGCCTTTAAGAAATGCAAAGACGTCGAAACCTCGTAGGATAAATGTTGGGTAGCAACCTCGTGTTAGTATATATGAAATCAGGTATATTGACCATTTATACCGAGGTTAAACGAAAGATGGCCTACTTTGAATGAATAGTTTTCAAACCTGTATTCTAAAACACCACTGTTTTTTCCACGTAAAGGATCTCACTATTGTGATAAAACAACCTAAAGCATTTCTTTGACAATGTCTTCCAGAGCTCTGGCATCCTTGGAGAAGTTACGAATTCCTTCAGCAAGTTTCTCCGTTGCCATCGCATCTTCATTCAACGCCCAACGAAATGCCTTCTCATCAACTCTGATGCGTGGAATATCCATCGCATTGGCTAAAACATAGAAAGAGATTTACAATAAGAAAAAACGCGATGACATACAATTTCGAAAGGAGCAGAATTGTTTGGAAAGCGATCTAGACATTTCCCCTACTTAATCAAAGCATTTCTAAAAACATATCCAAAAGGCTATGTCCCTGCCAGATTCTTTTACGATAACGGTTCTATCAGCAACTACTCGTCAGTGGAAATGATCTGGGGAGCACAAGTCGGCATTGAACTCAGCTAAACTGAAGTTCCAGTCGAAATCTTACTTACTTGGATACTTGGATGCCCATCCTCACTGGTTGTGTGGGCCCCAGCATAATCTCTATTTTTTCAGAGTTTTGCTGGTCTAGCTGCTGTGGTTCCCTGGAGTCCAGAGGTCAGCTTAGCCAAAGTCTGCCCCAGGTCGTCACCCCCACAGGCAGTCGCCGCCCTTGTGGATCACAGGGAAAATTGTCACTATGGGACTAGTTTGATACCAGGACAGTGGTGGTTCCTGGTAATGTTTTATTCTTAGCTGGGCTTACTGATAGAAACTACGGACCCCTTAGGCTGAGAGCCCTGCCGGTTGGGTGATCCCCCGCTGTGCATCGCAGCCCGACATCCTGGAACACGTTCCAGCCACGGTGGAGCGGTAAATCGTTGACAGTCGAAATCAGCATGTTCAAACTTTATCTATTATTTGTTCTTTTTATGGCAGGTATTACATGAAATACAACCACAACTGTGCTGAGATAAGGGTAATCGCGAATTCGAAGCCCACCTGAGGTTCCCAGTTTCACTCATATCTCAGCGTCCTTGTGGTTGTATTTCACATAATACGCTCCCATGAAGAACAAATAGAACAGTCAGTAAATAAAAGTTAGATAATGTTTAACGTTTTGTTTTCTGCCTTCTATAATTTTCATGGCAGGTTACTAAGCGAAATACAACCACAACGTTGCT